CAACAGTCCCCCTCCCGCCAATTCACCACATTGTTTGTTCCTTTCCCATGCTTAACCAGCAGCTACAAGACCATGCACCAAACACCAAGACCGCTCAACTACGGACGCACGGATTGGCGGATCAGTAGTCAAAGAGCCGCAGATCTGTACAGTTCTGGTACCAGGCTCTGGACGAAAAAGGATCTCGAAGACATAGAGCAACAATTGCGCCAGTCCTATACAATGGAAACATTTTCAGTCCGTCGAATAGATGGAAGCATAATCCAAATCTACAATCCCATGTTCCAAGTGCAGAATCCTATCTGGTACGTGGATATAATATTTTGGCCCATTTTCAGCCTGCAATCTAAGTCTTCCCTAGGAAACCTCATGTCAAGTACCAAGAATATTGGCAACTTGTGAAAGCACAACCCAACGGCCCGATCGAGACTTACTTATGTACTTACATCGTGGATTGGAGCAATCAGACTGCACGAAACTTTCGAGAGCTTATAGCACAGCCTATGCAAGTCTTTGATGAGAAGCAATTGTTGTGGCAGAACAGCAAGACCTGCAGGCAGTTGGCAGCCTTGGTCCAAGATGTACTCGGTACGAACACTGTGAAGAAGATTCTCTGCTTCGGGCTCGGTGATTTTTGCCGCTCCGCGCCTGAGTGGCTAAAAAACCAGCATAACTCTTGGGATGAAAACTTGGAGGTGAAAAATGTGATGGGCTGCATGATTCAGCATTCGATGGCTCTTACTATTGCTCAACTTTGTCGTGGCAATGAAACATTGCCATTACTTGCTCAGGACCCAGACTATACGGAGGTGGCAGAAGACATCCTAACCAAGAAGGAATTCAAAATTGTTGGAACTCATGGTGCAGGAGGATTCGCGGAAATTGACGAGGACTCGATCATAATATCACCATTTGCTGCCGCACCAGTCAAGCAAATCATCGCTGACCTTGCTCGGCCTTTGCTCATCATTTCCACCGGTTTTGGAGTGTTCAATAGCAATGAGTAAGCTCGCTTTATCGATCGCTGAATATGTCTAACCATGGCACTTCACAGGAAACCATTGGCAGATGCTGAATCTCCGAGGACAAGGCAAATGTGGCTCGATTATGATGCCTATAGCCTTCCAAGCCATCCTGATGACGTTGAGATATGCTCTGCATTGAAAGGATTGCATTTGTATTATAGACGCCAACGACGTCTGGATATGTGAGAAGCATGAGTTCAAGCCATCGCAAATATCAAATGGGTTTCAGAACGGGAGGTCTTATGTACATGGTGTCTCACACCCCTTATGCGCTGCGATCGATTTCGTAAAGTGTTCCACAAGAGCCCGCAGAGTCATTATTCAGGTGCAACCTCATGGTTGGTTGCCGGTCAAGCAGCTTCAGTGACAGTTCAAAAAGAAGAAACATTGCAGCTATTCACCTCCCGCCTCCGATTGTTTACTTCTTTTTCTTGGAGCAATTGCAACAGGCATAACAAGCACCACAGTCCGCATGGACAAAGCTCTTCTCCTGTTTGCAGGTGTAACATTTGATCGCGTCCACGGGACCGGTTATGTCGGATTCACAAGCCATGACGGAGGCAGAGACTATACAGATATTGATTAGGGGACCACCGATCAGCAACAGAGGGCAAGTGTACTATACTTGAAAGGATTTGGCAATCAGGTGTACGTCTGAGAGAAGCGGTTTAGGAAAGCAGGCAGTCTGTCGACTAGGTTATAGGAATCATAACCACGAACGTGATTGTTGAAAATCTTAAGTCACAACTGTTCCTTTCGCGCTCTTCAAACAACAAGAAAGCGGGATAATAGATGTGACAGGTTCCCTTGGTATAAAAGCTGACGAGGCCAATAGCCTCGTGAGCACCGGATGATTTCTAACGGGTCTGTCCTACATGTAGAACACTGAGGATGCCTCCTCCTAGTTAACTCGAGTGTGGTGGCACCTGCATTTGGCGCTAAAGATGGCTGACTAGCACCGATCAATCAATATTACTGAGCAGTTGTGTTGATCAATAGGCTTCAGCGAGGCCCCAATTAGGGTCCAAGGCACCGGTCCGTGCGCTGTGTGTTCTTGAATGGTCAAGAATGGTCCGGTCTGGGCTCTATCTGCGATACAGACGAGATCCAGGCACATCTTCTGTTTTAGAAGGGGTGGTGCGAAGGCTGGTTTGCGCGTTCTCATTGTTCATTTATGGGGCAACGGCTCTCGAGCGACATACTATGGCGCTCGTGACTTAAACACTGGAGCCCAAAAGTACTTTTTCGCCTCTGCGGGATCAGATGGAAGTGGCGAAACAGGGCTCAGGCGGGATTACATATTAATACTTGGAAAACAAGCTTTGACCACACTCGCGCCCAAATCCCTGAGAAGGAGCTCCAACGAACGCCTCCGAATTCTGGATACGCAGTTTCCCAGGCTAGGAGTTCTGTCTGAATACGCTAGTTCCGAATATTTACCCTCGTCTCCTCTTCATTTTCCTGCGAAGAGCAGTCGTCGAATAATCCCTACTCGGTCGCAACCAGGTTGTTCACCGTCAGATGTAGTCAGCGGTGCCCAACAGAGAGACTCGCCAGATCCTGATACAAATCCAGGAACACTGGGACGGAAGCGAGGTATCAGTCAGGTCATATCATCTCCGCCTACACAGCAGTCAACTCGCCAGCCCGCTCACGATACCCACGGCGGCCAATATCAGCAATATGTGGTGCCGTTTTGTACGCAGCGGTGTGTGCTCGGCCTGCGGGATAATGGCAACTTGGATTCTAACTGCCCTAATGTGGCACTACACCGACGCGGCCAGGATGGGGGTCGGCACCCGATTGATATGGAGTGTCTTGTGCAACTGCTCAAGAACCAGTTGGATGAAGACCTTGATCCTAATTGCCCACGATTCGACAAGTGTGGGTCATCCGGGGCACCATTCAAAATCACTCGTGCTCAATTTGGCTATACCGTGGTCGGAAAGGGAACAACCTCGCGCCGCTGGAAGGAAGTCATTCATGAAGCAGTCATCTATCAATTGCTCCAGAATGCACAAGGATCCGCGGTTCCCGTGTTTCTTGGAGCAATTGATCTAGCCGAAATTTACTTTCTGCACGGGGCTGGGGAGATCCCCGCTCATGGCCTGGGGTGGTGAGAGTACGGCCAAGCTCAACCCGTTGAAATGTCACCTTGCAACAATCCTGACCTTGTGTAAAGCAATTTATAGCTTGCAAAGGTTAGTAAAGCACTGTATAGATTGATAATGACCCACCGTCTATGCAGCTCCCTGGTGCCGACAGTAGGAAGAGATATAACCCTGGGAAATCATGGTCAATGTGATCTTCAATCCTGATATAATATTGATTTAATATTGTGAGTGAAAAAAAAAAAAAAAAAAAAAAAAAAAAAAAAAAAAAAAAAAAAAAAAAAAAGAAAAAAGAAAATAGAAAATTCACAAGCAACTTCTATGATCCATGCCAAGAAAGAATCACAGAAAAAATGATGACGTAGCCCCCGGCGAGGCTCGAACTCGCAACCTTAAGATTAGAAGTCTTACGCGCTACCATTGCGCTACGGGGGCACCTGATGGCTTGGTTTGTCACGTTTTGGTCTTAGGTAGACATTAGGGTATACTTTTTCTTGGCTGATTGCTTGTATTATGTATGTATACCCGCAACTATTCTTCTTATAGAAAGGACTGAGATAGGTACCAAGACCCTATTTGTCTTTCCATCCAAGACGGTAATCGCTGTTTCCAAGTATAGGGTACTCACATAATCTTTGGGGCACATACTCAATTTGATGGGCTCATTAAAGATCCGCTCATTCAGGGGAGATGGACCAATTGATTAGTATCATGTATATATATGAAAGAAAATACAGAGTTGGTCATGATACCAGAATAACTGGCCACATGATTGTTGACAAGGGGGCTTAGCATTGTGTTTGTATCCTATAAGCCCTTGATATGACAAAACCCATAAATGTGTGGTTATTTTATGTTCTCCCGGAGTTTTGTTAGTCAATTGTGACAGTTCCTTCCAGAGATGACTGGCATCATGATATTCAACTTGATGATTTTCAACCCTGAAAATGGTTTCACATTGAAAACTGTACTGTTTAAACTGGGCTGGAAAGATAAAGCAACTGACAAAAAAATCACAGACACATTCAAAAGGAAGAAAAAAAAAATCCAACAAGAATCACAGACACCATTCATGATCGTCGCAAGGAATTGCGACGAAAAAAAGAGAAGCCCCCGGCGAGGCTCGAACTCGCAACCTTAAGATTAGAAGTCTTACGCGCTACCATTGCGCTACGGGGGCACTCGATGATTTGACTTTGAAATTTTGAGTCTAAGTGCATAAAGCAAAGTTGTATCCCTGCATACACACTGCCATGTCTGATGGCCTATGCGATGTACACCCGCAAGTTATCACTACGCAAACGGCTGAGATACCAAACCCCCGGTTCCCAGTTGACTTTCCGTTCAAGACAGCAATCTTAATTTCCAATCATAGTGTGCTCACATAATAATTGTGGTTTATTCTTAACTTGGTGATCTTGTTAGGGATCTGTGGGAAGATAGACTACTGTTTACTATCAGAAGAATAAATAACTAAAAGCAAATCCAGGTGTGTTGAGTGATGTCTCTAAAACTTTGCCGGAAGGATTGTCGACAAGGGGGTTGGTTATGCATAGTATTCACATTCTGTATGAACAACAAAACATAATCGCCCCTGATATAATGTGTGTGTGGTCTTGTCATCTTGTTGTTCTCCTGCCGATTGTTAGTCATTTGTCCCAGCTCCCGAGATGAATCTCTAACACTCATATTTATGATGTTTAACATGGTGATCTTGAATCCTGATATTTATTCCACCCTTTCAACCAAGCTGAGATCAAAAGAAGAAGTGGGGAAAAAAAGGGATACAAAAGCACTGACCTATTTAAGTAATGGAACCTGATCTGTTTGGAACTTTGGAAAAACATCAAAAAGACGGTTAACAAGCCCCCGGCGAGGCTCGAACTCGCAACCTTAAGATTAGAAGTCTTACGCGCTACCATTGCGCTACGGGGGCCCCGGTGTTGCTCGTTGGCAAACTTTGGCTCTATAGTCCGTTACCCGTGGCTCTCCGTGCATACGGTCTATCCTGATTATCGCAGTCTACATGGCCTTTGCAAATTGACCGAATTGTCTACTTCCAACCACTACCCTGCGGATCGTTGCAATGCTGGGACTGTGCGATCCGGTATTGTCGCCTCCAGCACTCGACTGGGCCCCGGCTCTCCTCCCAATCACTGCAATCTGACCATCTGTGGCCAGCGCCCGAGTGGACTGCACCATTGTATTCACCCCGCCGATCCCAACAATCAGATCCGCTCCATATTCTCGACGGGATCTTTTCTTTGCTGTATTCCCCCATTCCTCGTCCTCTCGGTAGTGAATGACACGATCGGCCCCATCCCGCTTTAACCGGTCGGCTTTCTGGGCCCCTCTCGTTGTCGAGATCACCTGCACCCCCCCCCCCCCTATATTGGCAATTTGGGACGCGAACATACTAGTAACGCCCCCGGATCCTGGGGTCAGGACCGTTTCGCCGGCCTTGAGGCCTTTGGGTCCCCCGTACAAGGCGTTCCAGTCGGTCACAGCCGCGCAGGGAAGTACTAAGTAGTGGAGTGCCAAGAACCTTGGATGGAGAAAGTTCTGGCCGTCGCTCCACGCGTGGAGAATCTGCTTTAGTGCCGATTTCACGGATGTGAATGGCATCAGATGGGAAAAGACCTGTGAATCTAGAGTGTTTGATACGGATACATCAACGGCAACAATGATCGGATGTTCTAGCGGGCTGCACTCTTGGTAAGAGGGTTAGAATTTAAACAACAGGATGTAAAATTGTCCCTGCGCTCGGGAAAGGGGGTTGTAAGCCATGATTTACTGTTAGTGCAAGACAATCTCAGTGCAGAATAGCAGAGAAGAGAATCGAAGTATAAATGATCAATCTAGGGTTCTGTGCGAGAGTACAAAACATGATCATCGGTGACTTGTATCCTGTGACCTCAATTATATGTTTGATTTTGCCATGTCATTCTTCGAATCCAAGCTAGAGCCAGCTCGGTGGGTTCATGTTGGGATAGCTTGCCCCACTTCTCTGCGGTCCCGACAACAAATATTCCATGGACTTGGAATGAATTCAATCTAGATAGTCGTAGCCAATGATTGATGAGAGAGAAGGACTTGCAAATAGAGATTTTAAGATCCGATGCCGCATCTATGAAGAGGGTAAACGCAATCATGTGAAGGCGGTCAATAGATCATCACATGGCTCTCCTCTTTCTTGTCTTCTCTGCTTCTCTACCTCTCTTCTTCTCTTCTTCTTTCCCTCCCTTCTTTCTTGGACTAGCTGGATCAACAACATTGAATGTTTTCAATTCACGACATAACATCAACACATATCAAAAGCTGGGAGGTGGGTCATGGAAAAGATGGATCGAGGCCAACAAAGAGGAGAAAAAAGCCCATGATGTTGGTAAGCATGGAGATGGGATGGGGGCCGAATGCTACAAAATAGCCGAATGGGACTCCATCTTGTCCTAACTCCCATCCATCTGTCCATCCAAACCATCTTCTTTCGTTCCATTCCATTTTATTATCCAGAGTACATCTGGGATTGATCCGGAACGATAATGTTCTCAACCTTTATGGCCATCTCAGACGGCAACACGACCAACCGAACCAGCAATGACTTCCCCGCACAGACCACAACCCCAGTTTCGACGCACTCGAAGCGCCACCAGGTCGCACGGGCGTGCCACTGGTGCCGTGTCCATCGCATCAAATGTGACAGCAACGTGCCCTGCCGGAATTGTCGTCGTCGAGGTAGTCAATGTACCAAAAGGAAGGCGGCAGAGATCCGCACGCTGCCACAGGCTGTGAGGTGGGATCGACACGTCCGAGCATGGAACCAACTCAAAACTAATACTTGCCATAGAGAGATTGGGCGATTGCAAGATCGCATCCGGGAACTGGAAGCACAACCGCAGAATGCAACCACTACAGTCTCGCACACGGAACACCCGACCATCCGACCACCACAGGGGGCCGGGGCAAAGACAGAATGGGACGGAATCCATACACGCACCGCATACTCCTCCCAAACCCAGTGGTATGGGCCCTCCTCCGCCTTCTATTTTATCGGTCGCATGAGTGCATATCTGAGCGCCGTTCTCAAACATCCCCAGGACGATCATCATCTGCAACCCAATTCCGCGAGTCGCACGTTTACCAGTCCGACTGTTACAAAGCATGTTCCGGAAGGGCTGCCGGCGCCTTCTATGAGCGGAGAGGAGCCGATGGGGCCGGAGAAGTATCTATGCAGCTTTGAAGAAGACTTCTTTTTGGATTTGTTCTGGCAATCATATCACCCGACCTACCAGATTCTGAATGAAGGGAAATTTCGGGAGCATTATCGATCCCTCTGGGTACATTCGGGGGCAACAAGACGGTCATCAGCCCTGGTCGACATTGTCCTCGCCCTGTGTATGCAATACGGCGTCGCACTGACCCCGACCAGTAAGGACAGCACCACCCCCGAGCGATCCGATGGCCAGATTGATCTGAGCGACGCCAGTATCGCGGGCCGATGGTACTACCGGCGGTCGCAGATGCTGCTGCTGGCGGAACTGGAAAGTCCATCCATCACCACCCTCCAATGCCATATCTTTTCGGTTGTGTACCTATGCAACGCGTCCTTTCAGAACATGGCCCACACGACGCTGGCGCTGGCGATCCGCACCGCGCATGTGCTCGGACTCCATCTCGAACCGCCGGAGAGCCTCCCGCGGCCTGAGCGCGAGTGGCGCAAACGCATCTGGTGGACGCTCTACACAGTTGAAAGTAAGACCTGTATGAAACTAGGCCGGCCCAGCTTCGTGCCGGATTGGACGGCGACCTGTCAACTCCCCGCCGATGATCCGGAGCTGGCCCGTCAGTCGGGATCGGCCATCGCGGCGGATGGCGACCAGGTCACATGGTTGACCTACAGTCGTCTCGTCGCTGGGTTAGTGCTCGCCGTGCAGACAGTTTACAATCGACTTAACCTCCAGCGAACGGAGCTCCTGGCGGTGAATGGGCTACAAACCCTATCAACACCGTCATCATCTCTGGAAGCATTGGCAACACTTCTCCAGTCGCAGATGGTCCTGATTCGCGACTGGTTTCACAATGTACCCGATGCCATGAAAGCTAAACGTACCGATGGGGGAGAGCCCTTCTCGACGGACCGACCCGAACTCGCCTTGGAACGATATGCCCCCTCATGGTTGCAGCGCCAAAGGCTTCTCCTGGAGCTTCTCTATCACAACTTGTTGATGAATCTCCACCGTCCCTTCATCTGTTTCCCATCTTCCTCCACCATTAGCAAGGATCGTACCCCCCTGGCGGCAGCACATGCAACCTCGTGCGTCCGCCACGCGATCACTATTACACGGATACTTCATCAGGTTGTCCCCGCCACTGACTTCCTCACAGGATGGTACGAGGCCTTCCAGTGGCAATGGAACTCGACCCTCTCCCTGGTGGGCTTCGTCCTCGCCGACCCCTGTCATCCCGACACTCCACCCGCCCGCGCGGCCATTGACCATGCCATCACGGTCCTGGAGGTCTTTGGCAACCACTTTGCGGTCGCCCGGAGCGCCGCCCAGGTAGCTCGGGGGCTCTCAGTGAAGGCGGATTTTCTCCGCGCCCAATTTAGTGCCGAGGTGGGACCAGGAACCTTGGGGACACCCTCCATCTCGGACCTAATGGAGGGGGTTTCAACGCCGCTCGACAGCGGCCCCGCTGGGGCGATACTCGTCGACGAGCCCCCAGCCATGTTCCAAAGCACTCTTGCGGGAGCCATGGGGTTGTCGTCCGATCTGGATTCATTTTTCAGTTTTGAACCCTTATATGCCGGGTCGAACAATCTGGCCGATGCGTGGAACTTGAGTCATTATTAATTCACTAACAATGGGGTTTAATTTACAACGAAGCGGTGCTCGGGCAGATGTTGCGATCGAAGGACAATTTCTTCATGCGTATGTTCATGCTTCTACCACGTGCAGCCACTCTTTCATCTCCATTGTCATCTTTCCCCAAGATCGTTATGGTCTCCCAATTCATTCCATGGTGATAACCGCCCGGAACCGCACTGTTCCCGTTCGCATTGCCTCTGCAGATGTATCAAATTAGCATTGGTCATAGGATACTCTGGGAACCATAAAGCCTACCGCATGCGTCATTTGCTTTCTCTAGAGGAAATTCCTCTACCTGACAGTCAATGTTTTGCAGCTCGGTGAAGGCGATCGCTTCCTCCGAATCTGTGGCGTGACCCGCGGGCCACACCTGCACGGAGAGGCCATATGTGAGCTAGAGCGCCGTGAGCAATGAGTCGTTGAACCATCGGGGACCACTTACCATGGTTCCGGTATCAATTGTAAGCTCGCCGGGCACTATACCATTCATCAACACGTATCCCTGGCGCTCAGACTATGGGGCGAACGGACCCGATAACAGCAATAATTTTCCTAATATTCCTAATCCCTTCAACAGCGGACTGATTGCTTCCACGGCAGGTGCCGTAGTCACGACCAACGACACCCCACCCAGTCGTTGCAGGGCTTGCCCCACGTCTCCCTGACTCGAGTCGATATACTCGTGTGCGCCCAAGTCCCTCGCTAACGCTTCCTTCGATCCGTCTCTGGAGATGGCCACCACTCGATACCCCATCTTATGGGCGAACTGGATGGCGAGATGGCCCAGCCCGCCGAGGCCTTGGACGGCGACGGTTTCTCCGGCCGGGATGTTCATGTGCCGGAGGGCATTAAAGACGGAGACCCCTGCGCAGAGGATAGGCGCATACCGGGCGGCTGGGACGTGGGCGGGCACCCGTACCGCCGCTTCCTTATTGATGAAACAGTATTCCGCATCTGTGACATCACGTTAATGGATAACAGAGCACAGCGAGAAAGTACGTACAGCCACCGTTCTTGGTCTCCCCGTTGACCACGCGTGAGTCGCACATTTGGTACCAGCCTTGGCGGC